CTCGGAAGCAAATACAACTGATGGAGCAGGTCTTGCCCATGAAATCATATGCAAAAATACATGTATTAAGACACAATCCAGCATGGATTAAGCACCTTTAAATCCCATTTATTTCAACAGAAGTGTGTTAGCTGCACATGGAAAAAAAGAGATATCAAAATGTGCCTAAACTTGGCACAAGTATGGTTAACTTTTTAAGCGCCATTGCACTTTATTTTCCTGCAACAGGCGATCAAGACTACTCTTCCAAAAAAAAATGTCCTTCAAGATCCAATATTGCCTCAGAATATTTCTAGAGGCCTATTTAATTCTGAATGTGAACAATCTTCTTCTTTTCTCTGCTTCAGATCTAGTGGTGCATTGTTCCCACAGCAGCACCAGTCTAATCCTCACTAATATAGCAAATGCATTTAGATTCACTTTGGCTAAGCAGAATCTACTGTGTTAATCATCAAACAGGATGCTATGGAATTTGGCCTTGAAGTATTATCCTCTTACTAAGATGTGTTTGGAAAGAATGGCAACAGATGTACAAAAGGAATTGATTCTAGCGAGTCTTCTGTTTTGCTTTCGTATTTTGACCACTAATAATAAGTATGACTATTAATATTTACAAATTTGGCTACTAAAATGCTAAGAATGCAAAAGAAATTCATACATTTGTCATATCTTTGTGTAATACCCCACTGTGATTTTACAATATAAGAGACATTTTTTATGCAATATTAAGACACATTAATCTTAAAACACATTAATCTTCATATATATATAATATCCAAACACAGGCAGACATCTCTTGTTAGAGAAGTCAGTGAAGCTTCCACTTACTACTAATTTAACTGTTCTTTTGACTACAGCCTTGAACATATATCAAAAACTGTAACTAGGTTTAAATTAATTACCAGTATTATGCTCAACATTCAAATAGCTTAATCCTACCCAGCAGCAAGAATGCAGACACATTTAAGTTTTCTTCCTAAACAGAAATGTTTCTGTGGATCAAAATAAGATTGGTTAAATTCCACTACAAAGTAATGTCAGGGCAAAGCACACAGCTTTTCAAGTTTCCATGGCTGCTCTCCAAAAATTTACCCTCCCCCCCTCAAAAGAAGTCTCAGGGTATCAAAGAGGCACAAACAGGCACAAAGTCCACACTTGCCTATGCCAACATATTTGGCCACTAAACAACTTTCAGCCACCATTTGTAGCTACTATCTGTAGTCAACCAAAATTAAAAACAAACAACGTGCTTCCTTACCTGAAACCGACACTTTCATTATGGCTTCCAAGGGTCTGTTGTTGTCCAAGTCGCGGCTAAGCTTAAGTTCTCCAGTAGCAGAGTCCAAAAGCAGCAGATTTAACTCATTGCCCTGGACAAAGGTGTAATCAAGTTGGTCCGATATATCAGGATCATGAGCAGGGATCTTGCCAATCACTCCAGAAGGGAAGCTATTAGATTTATTGGTGACATAGTTGTTGAAAAGGATCTGGAAGTCTTGCAGCACAGGAGGGTTGTCATTCTGATCTTGAAGGCGTATGTGTACGGTGGCTCGGCTCACAAGTGGGGCTGAGGTAGCTTGCACCACAATTACATACTCTGTCTGGCTCTCATAATCTAGATCCATCAGGGCTGTGAGATCACCATTAAGAAGGTCAAGCTGGAAGACCTCAGGGATGTTCCCTTCCACGATCTGATACATGATTTGTGCATTAGTTCCCTCATCGGGGTCTACAGCACTGATCCGGGCTACAATGGAACCCACGGGGCTATTCTCCTCCACAAAAATGTCAAATTCATCTTGCTGAAATACAGGTGGGTTATCGTTGATATCCAGCACAGTAACCTGAATATCCACAGAGGCTTTGAGGGGTGGGCTGCCCCTATCCACAGCAAAAGCCCTCAGGCTGTAGACAGCCACATTTTCGCGGTCTAGCTTGCGCAGCGTCCGTATCACCCCTGATGTGGCCTCAATGTAAAAATCACCATCACCATCATCACCACCCTGGAAGGTATAAAGGATGCGGCCATTAGGGCCAGAGTCACGGTCAGTGGCGGACACCTGCAAGACACTAGTGGAGAGGGGCACATCTTCGAAGACAGAACCCTGGTAGCGGTCACGAAGGAAACGGGGCGTATTGTCATTGGAATCCAAAATGAGGATCTCCACATAGGTGGTGTCAGATTTCTGAGGGATCCCATTGTCCTGAGCTGTGATGGCCAGTGTGTAAGAGGCTTGGTCCTCATAGTCTAGCTCCATCAAAGTTGTGATTGTGCCCGTGTCAGGGTCGATGCGAAATTGAGGGATGTTATCCTCCAGGATGTAAGTGATCCTAGCATTCTCCCCAGTATCCTCATCAGTGGCACTGATAGTTACAATGGGTGTGCCAATGGGCTTGTCTTCACTGACACTCACGGTGTAGTGGGAACTTTGGAAAACTGGTCGGTGCGTGTTGGCATCTGTGACATTGATGAAGACTTGGACAGTGTCAAATAGAGTTCCATCGGAAGCAGTGACAGTCAGCACATACTGCCTCTCTTGCTTGTAATCCAGTGGCAAGGCCAGAGTGATCAGGCCACCTGCACTCTGACTAGTGATAGCAAAGCGGTTCCTTGTGTTGCCACTAGTGATCTGGTAGGTCACCACACTGTTGACATCCTTGTCCACCGCCGTCAGTGTCAAGACACTGCTGCCTACTGTCGCGTCCTCATTAAGCCTGAGCTGGTAAACTTTTTCAGTGAAAGTAGGGTTGTTATCGTTGACATCGAGGACGGTGATGGACACACTGGCTGAGGAAGTCATGACAGGGACGCCATTGTCCCTGGCCTCCACCCCAAAGTGGTAGTTCTCGACAGTCTCCCGGTCAAGCTCAGCTGACACTGTAATCCACCCGGTGCTATTGTTGATCTGGAATGGGAAGCCCATGTCCCCACCTGGAGACACCGGTGCAGAAGGGTGAGGCAGCTCAATGAGTTTGTATTCCAAGCGGGCATTTTCCCCAGAGTCAGCATCTACTGCCTGAATGTGTAACACTGAGTAACCCAAAGGGACGTTCTCTAGCACAGTGGCTTGAAAAGGGGTGCTTACAAAAATGGGGGCATTATCATTGACATCCAGAACTTGAATGGACACCATCCCACTAGAATTTATCTGTGGAGGCCGCCCGGCATCCTGGGCCTTGATCCTCAGTGTGTATTCTCGGATAGTCTCGTAGTCCAGGGGGTTGATCAAGTCAATGGAACCGGAAAAAGAATGGATGTAAAACTGCCCCTTGAGGTTCCCGCTCACGATGCTGTAGTGCACCTGGGCGTTGTTGCCGCGGTCTCGGTCTGTAGCTTGCACCTGCAGCACTTGGCTATTTACCGGGGCGTCTTCTGGGATTTGCACCAAGTAGCGTTTCTCGCTAAACTGCGGCGAGTTGTCATTCTCATCCTCCACTGTGATATGCACTGTGACTGTGGCGCTTCGAGGACCGGGTTCTTTACCTTGGTCGTTGGCTTCAACCACAAGATGATATTCAGAGACCTCCTCTCGGTCCACAGGGGCACAGGTCCTCACGACACCAGAGTGAGGGTCAATCTCAAAGACTCCCTCCCCGGCACCCGGTTCCAGGATACGATAGAGCAGATTAGCGTTGTCCGGGGCATCCTCGTCCGTCGCGCGAATCGTCAGCACCTCGTAACCCACCTCCAGGTTCTCCCGAATGTTCTCCCGGTACTCCGGCTGCTCGAACACCGGGCCGTGGTCGTTGGTGTCACTCACCGTCACTGTCAGGAAGGTGACGGCCGAGCGGTGCCGCGGCACGCCGTGATCCGCCGCAATCACTTGAAGGACGTGGGTGTCCTTCGTCTCGCGGTCCAGGCTGCGGGTGGTGACCACCACGCCCGTGTTGGCGTCGATGGCGAAGTAGTCGTCGGAGCGCTTGTCGAAGAACGCCTCCATGGAGTACGTCAGGCGGCCCGCCTCGCCCTCATCCGGGTCGTGGGCTTCCAAGGTGATGACGGCTGTGCCCGCCGGCTGGTTCTCCGCAATGGACACTTGGTAGTTGGGCAGCTTGAACTGCGGAGGGTAGTTGGCGCTCCTCAGCGTCCGTTGTGGCAGCGATGGCGGACCCCGGGGCCAAGAACCCCGGCCACTCTCCCTCCCCATTTGCCATTCCTGAGAGGCCGCCCGCCTCTTCCTACCCAACCTGCACTGCCCACCTGCCGCCCACTCCCTTCCCTCAAAATGGCGCCCACCAAATTCGACCAGGACCTCCCCGGGGCCCCTGGTCACGTGACAAAGAAGCCTCAGGCTTTTCCCGCCTTTTCCCTCAGGGGTCCTGAGGGGAGGCCCGTCGAGGCACCGGCAGCGAGGGAAACTCGTCAAGGCCCTCAGCGCCTCCAGCAGCGGCGTCTCCTCTTCCTCCGTCCCCTCTTGAGGCTCCGGGGCGGCGGGGCAGCGAGGCCGGCCGCGCAGCCTCCGCCTCAGCGCGGGGCCCGCGTCGGGGAGGGACAGGTGCGCCGGGGCTCCAGCCCGTCGCCGACTGAGGCAGCCGGGCCCGTGCAGGTAGGCCGCCAGTCGCAGCGTGAGGGAAACGTCGCCTGCGCGGGAAACCAAGCGCAGGCGCAGAGGCAGCGGGTTGGCCGCCCCGGCGTCGCCGCCGCACCGCGCGGGCACCGCGGTCCTCCTCAGCAGCCCGCCGGGCGTCACCTCCACGGCTCCCCTCAGCGCGCGCGGCGTGCGAGCCTCGTCCAGCGCGTAGAGCCACCCGGGCCCCACGGACACGTCCAGCAGCGGGGCCCCGGCGGCGGCTTCGTCGACGTGCAGCTCCCAAGCGGCGGCGGCGGCGGGGCCCAGCAGCGCGAGCCACGGCAGCCAGGCGGCCACGGGCGAGCGGCGCGGCATCTCCAGGGCGGCCGCGGGGCGACAAAATCCATCCACCCGGCCGCGCTGCTGCTCATCCGGCGGCCGCGGCGGCGTCCATGAGCGCCGGCTTAGGTGCCCCCTCAGGAGGGCAAACTTTCCTTTTTATATAAAGTTCAAAATGGCTCCCCGTATCCCGCCACCGGAGGTGAACCTGCCCCTCTCGCCTCGGCCCGGGCGGCGGTGTTGCCGGCGGCTCCTTTCAGCAGCTGCCCCGAAGCATCGCTCCCTCAGGCGCCCGGGACTCGGGGGCAGGATTCCCCCGCCAGTGCCCTGGCGGATCCCAGGCGGTCCGTCGATCTCCTCCACTTCTCGCCCCTTTTCACCGAGCCAGCGCAGACTTTCAATCCCCGGCGACGGGAAAAAAAAAGCCTTTCGCAACCGTCCGGGGTTAAGTTTGGCTTCCCGGCACGTGCGCTGGGGAAAAGTTCGCCGCCGGGCTCTGGATCTCCGCTTCTCCGCCTCCGCCGCTGATTCATCCACCGGTGATCTCTATGGAGATCGGCCGCTGCAAAAGCCGCCCCCGAGGAAGCAGGCAGGCGTCGGTGCCCGAGGAGGAGTTTCCTGCCTTTGCGCGATCTCCTCGCCCCTTTTCACCGCGGCAGATCCCCGGCGACGGATCCGTCCGGGGTAAGTTTGGCTTCCCGGCACGTGCGCTCGGGGAAAAGTTCGCCGCCCGGGCTCTGGATTTCCGCCTCTCCTGTTTGCAGCTGATTCCTCCCCACCGGAGATCCCTAGGGAGATGGGCCGCTGCAAAAGCCGCCCCCGAGCAGGAGGAGGCAGGCGATCGGACGGGCAGGCAGCCGTCGGTGCCCGAGGAGGCGTTTCCTGCCTTTGCGCTCAACGGAGCAGAGGCAACCTGCGCCGAGGGAGAGGCGGGGAATCTGGGACGGAGGAGCTGCCGGCGAGAGGGAGGGAGAGGCGGTCCCGGGGCGGCTCGGGCCCCTTCTGCCTCGCCTGGTCGGCAGCGGCCCCTGTCGTCCGCAGGGCAGGAGTTTGCCGGGAAGGCACATGGGGTATAGATAATAAACATTAATTTCCGATGCCGGGAGAGGATGGTCAGAAAGCACCTTGAGGATCAGGAGCAGTGCCGGATTTACGTATAAAGCTAAACAGGCTATAGCTTAGGGCCCCACACACTTGGGGCCCCGCAAAAAAAAAAAAAAATTAAAGGAAAAAAACCCTCGATGTACATTTCCAAAATATAAGATAAAAAACAAATAAAATCAAACCTGCATACAGCAACAGTGTTTTGTGCTGTGTAGGCTCCTATTTGTTATGTGCAAATGGCTTTAGATACCTATTAGGTCCATAAATTGCCATATTGCATATATTCACAACAAAAAATAGTGACAATTTGTTGTTGACGAAGGACAGCTGGGCATATAAAGGGCCCCATTACCTTCAGTAGGGCATCATCAAATCTCAGTCCAGCCCTGATCAGGAGTCCAACCCCACTGTGGTGCAAGAATATGCAGCTGTCCCAAGGGGGGGGGGATTGAACCAGAGCAGTGCAAGGAAACACCGTTTACCTTCCCACCGGAGGCGGTACTTATTTATCTACTTGCACTTTGATGTGCTTTCGAACTGCTAGGTGGGCAGGAGCAGGGACCGAACAGGAGCTCACCCCGTCGTGGGGATTCGAACTGCCGACCTTCTGATCGGCAAGCCCTAGGCTCTGTGGTTTAGACATTTCACTAATTCAGGTTTATACATTTCACAAATTTTGCAATCAAAGCTTGACTTCCTCCCCCCTCTTTCTGCTTCTCCTTAAATTTATTTTCAATATCTTCTGCATATCTAGATTAACTTAATTTGCTCATTTATTCATCTACTTTAAATATATATATAACTGCAGATTATTACAATAATCTTGCCAATGTTCTTATCTGTTTACAATTTATCTGTCAATATTCAATAAACCGTTTCCATTCGTTTATAAAAAGTTTTTGACCTTGATATCTTATTCTTCCTGTTTTAAAAAACAAACAAACATTTATTTATTTGGTTTTTTTAATTGAAATTTTGTAGTCACAAACATACAACATAAAGACAAGATTCCAAAGACTCTCTAGGACTGCCCTCCTCCCCTTTGTGGGTCCTATTATTAATCATTTCCTCCTGCATCTTTTATAATAATCCAAATATTTTACATCTCAATTATATCCAAAATTCACCATTAAACTACAAGTGTTAATGCTGCTAATGATTCCTTATTAATATTTTGGTCTTCCTGATTTCTTATTCTTCCAGTAAGTTTTGCCATTTCTGCATATTCCATAAGTTTTTGTATCCATTCTTTGTTTGCTGGGACTTCTGCTTCTTTCCATTTTGGGGTGAGTAACATTCTTGTCATTGTAGTAGCATACATGAATACAATCTATACAGCTTAGCTAGTTCTATCCCTATAATTCCCAAAAGAAAAGCTGGGGTTTTCCCCAAAAACATTATTTTAAACATCCATTTCAATTCATTGTATATCATTTCCCAGTAAGCTTTAACCTTACTACAAGACCACCACATATGATAAAAAGAACTTTCTTTCTCTTTACATTTCCTGATAACTCTTTGCTGTAAAGCCTGATCTGGTAAACTCATTGTAGAATCATAGAATTGTAGGAAGAGATCCTGAGGATCATTTAATCCAAACCCCTGCATACAGGAATCCTGCCCACAGCCATCCCTGTGTGGGCTCGAACCACCAACCTTCCCATTAGGAGTTATAATAGCCATCTTCAAATATCTTACGGGCTGTCCCATGGAGGATCGAGCAAATTTGTTTTCTCCTGCTATGCAGGGTAGGACTCGAACCAATGGCTTCAAGTTACAAGAAAGGAGATTCTGACTAAACATCAGGAAGAACTTTCTAACGGAGCTGTGCAACAGTGGAATGGACTCTCCTTCCTTGGAGATTTTTAAGCAGAGGTTGAGATTCCTTGCAATTCTATGATTTTCCATATGTCCAAAATCAGATCTCTATGGCATCATGCTGCAACAGCACAATTCACCATATTCAATTGTTCTGTTTGAGATGCAGAACTTCTACCCTCATACACAACTTGGAGGTATTTTAAATATATCCTAATTCCAACTGCTTCTGAATTTGCTTCTTTGAGCTGCACCTTTTCCCCACTGCTACAGTGGCCTCTAGTGGCAAATGAGAGAGTTGCTTTTGCGCAGCCTTCCAACTGAATTCATTTTAAAGCCATTCTGCGCGTTATTATTAGACAAAGCTGTGTTACAGGATGTTTGGCCGTCGTGATACTCAAAAAAACTGCTTGAACATTTTCTTGGACTGCTTATGGTGCAAAATAAGCATAGTTATGTGAAATTAAATTTCATTTAGATCACTAGAAGCAAAGTTCAGTTGAGATAAGTTTTGTTAAAATCAGTCAAATACAGTCATTCACAAGGCTGCAGTATACTTACTTGGAAGTAAGTTCCGCTGAACTCAGTAGGGTTTGTGTCTGAGTAAACCTGCTTCAGAAAAAGATTTCTTTTTTATAAATTTTATTGGTTTTACAGTTTAATTTTATATTCACACATAAAATAGAATAAAAAAGTGTAGAATTCTCCGAAATCTTGGACTTCTTCGTATTTTTGCCCATAGGACGCACCTTGTTTTTTTGGGGGAAATAATGGGGGGGGGGCGAATTATTTCCTCCCCGCGAAGCCCGGGGCTCAGGCAGCTCTGTGCAACCCTCGGGATACTGGCGCGACTTCCCGCTGGGCTCCCTAGGATTGCGCAGAGCTGCGCGAAGCCTGGAGAGCGAGAGGGGTTGGTGCGCACCGACCCCTCTCGCTCTCCAAGCTTCAGCGAAAGCCTGCATTCGCCCCATAGGACACACACACATTTTCCCTTCATTTTTGGAGCGGAAAAATTGCGTCCTATAGGGCGAAAAATACGGTACTTCCTCCCCTCCATGGAGTCTGCTAATAACCATTTCCCACTGTGTTTCATATCGTCCTGTATTTATCCTTAAAACACTTTATATCCATGGTTCTTTTCAGAAAAAAATAATTCAATTCCCACTGATTTCAACAGAATGTGCACATGCTCTCCATAATGGATTGCACTTAGGTTTCTATGGATTGCATCTGCCGTGGAAAAATCAGTGGAAATCATGGGAAAATTACAATGTGTTTAATAAGGTAGCTGTTCAAAAATATCTGTCCTTGGTGAAATTGCTCCCGTGATGAATTCACCTGCTGCAGTCACTATCAATATTTACAATCTATTGGTTAGGAAGGAACGTTGGGGTTTGTGTGTTGGAGTTAGGTGCAATGAAGGTGCAATCAAAATTTGGAATGGAAAAATAGATTCTACTGTTTTGTCTATGAAAGAACATAGGAAGCATGCATTGAAACAGATAGACTTCTGCTTCATCAAGCTCAGTATTGTTCTCAATGACTGGCATGAGCTGTCCTGGGTTTCAGATAGGGGCATTTTCCAGAACTATCTAGAGATGCTGGGAAACGTGGGACCTTCTGTATACAAAATGCATATTCCAACACTGAGCTACAGCTACTGTGCTCTTCCTCCTTTTATCCTTGCAAGAACCTTGTGAGGCAGGTCTTCTACTTGGCGATCACTCATTGCCGTAAGATTGTCATTCCATAAACACAGTTTTAGCAGTGAGTCCGTAAGTGACTGTGGAGGCCAATTCTGGATCTGCACATCCTTCCACAGTGGGGACATAGGTTTCCAGGTGGGAGTTGATAATGGTGAGGGTTTGTCAAGCGTGCCTTCCTCTTAGAACTCTTAGAACGTTTCTCCCTTTCATCCTGAGTTCAAGCATCTTCAAATGCTTGACACCTTTGGTAAGCACTGGAGTGCTCACAGGCCAGTGTTTCCCAGTTGTCGGTGTTTATACTACATTTTTAACGATTTGCCTTCAGAGAGTCTTTAAACCTCTTTTGTTGACTACCAGCATTATGCTTTCCATTTTTAAGTTTGGAATAGAGTACAGTGGTACCTCGGCTTACATACGCTTCAGGTTACATACACTTCAAGTTACAGACTCAGCTAACCCAGAAATGTACCTCGAGTTAAGAACTTTGCTTCAGGATGAGAACAGAAATCATGCTCCGGCGGCGCGGCAGCAGCAGGAGGCCCCGTTAGCTAAAGTGGTGCTTCAGGTTAAGAACAGTTTCAGGTTAAGAATGGACCTCCGGAACGAATTAAGTACTTAACCCGAGGTACCACTGTAGTTGCTTTGGAAGACAATAATCAGAAGTTGATTTTGAAGAATCATTGCTTCGACACTGGTGATCTTTGCTTCTTCCAGTACACTGGCATTAGTTCGCCTATCTTCCCAAGTGATGTGTAAAATTTTTCAGAGACACCGTTGATGGAATCTTTCGAGGGGTTGGAGATGGTGTTTATAAGTGGTCCACGTTTCACAAGCATACAGTAAGGTTGGTAGTACAATAGCTTTGTAAACAAGCATTTTGGTTTCCCTGCAAATGTCCTGGTAAGGCAGGTAAGGTGATAGGCTTTAACTGGCCCAAGATCACCCAGTTAACCTCTTGGCTGAGCAGGGCTTGCAAGAGAAGGACTTTAGCAAGATGCAAGAAGCCTACTTGCTCTCCTGTTTGTTTCTAAGAAGGAATAGCTCCACGCTTCATCT